ATAAAACCTGTTCCCGAAACCCTTCCCACCCCTAAACCCTGAACCCTATTCCCTATAGACCCTCGCTGCCTTAGAAAACCCTAAACCCTAAACCCTAAACCCTAAACCCTAAACCCTAAAACCTAAACCGAAAACCACAAAAAAAACAATTCTAAGGCATCAAAAAACCCGGAGAGTCAACCCCTAAACCCAAAGCTCGAAACCACCACAAGCCCTACCTAAACCCTAAACCCTAAACCCTAAACCCTAAAACCCTAAAACCCTAAACCCTAAACCCTAAACCCTAAACCCCAAACCCTAAACCCTAAACCGTGCTTTCAAGATGGGTTGCTGTAGTCCATGAGCCGGCCCTGCTCATGATGCTGCACCGGCGCGAGGATGAGGAAGTAGGAGCTGTGGGCCACATACCTGCAGGTTTAGGGTTTAGGGTTTAGGGTTTAGGGGTTTAGGGGTTTAGGGATATGGTACCCTCAACCCCAAACCCGTTTAGGGTTGGAGTTTAGGGATATGGTACCCTAAACCCTAAAGCCGTTTAGGGTTGGAGTTAGGGTTCAGGCTGTTGGCTCTATAGGGCGAGGGTTTACTGTTCAGGGACAGGGGCTCAGAGATTCTGCAAGGGTCCCGCAAAAGCTTCGCTGAAGGGTTCTATACTGGCTGGTCTTTCTGGGCTGTCCAGAGGCTATAAGTTAGGCTGTAAGCGTTTTGCGAGGGGTTTTACCATTTGGGCTCTTATGTTCGCAACCATAGGGAGGCCTGGGTTTACACGGTATCTAGGTTCAGGGTCAAGAGGCCCAGGACTCTGGACTCTCCAAACCCTCCGAAACGTCCGCCAACAGGCCTACAACGCCTTCAAACTCTAGCACCCTATCCCAGAAACAAACCCAAAAAGCCAACTACGACAAGCCTCAAAACCCCTAAACCCCCAAAACCCCAAAACCCCCAAAACCCCAAAACCCCCAAAACCCCAAAACCCCCAAAACCCCTAAAACCCTAAAACCCCTAAAACCCCCAAAACCCCAAAACTCCCAAAACCCCCAAAACCCCATCATTTTTTGTCCTGCGAGGTGCGTATGCAAGCTCTCGACGGCCTCCCTTAGCTGCTCCTGCTGTTGCAGCCGGTCCTGCCGCTGTTTGATGGAACGCCGACTCCTAGGATCCCCATAAGGACCCGTACATAAGGCCACCTCTTCGGGAATTACGGTTGTGGCTTGTCATACAACCCTATAAGCACTAAACCCCAAGCACTAAACCCTAAGCCCAAATATTCGTCCGTCCTCGTCGGTCTCGCAGGCACAGCGCCTGAGCTCGGTGAGTCGCGAGGGTCACAGGCCAGCGATCTCAGGCTATGACGGCTAATTAGGGTTTAGTTTAGGGCTTAGAGTTAGGCTATGTCTTTGGGGCGAACTTAAAGAAGCCTCAACCTTAACCCTTAATGAATTCAAACATGGATCCAAAGAAAGAGCCAATGTAAGCCAGATGTAACGCACAAAGGCGGAACCAGTTCGAATCCCGTGTCTAGCTCTTAACGCACATGAAGCACTTCAGTGAAACCGCCAAGGCAGAGAAAGCCTGCAAGGAGTCTTCAAGGGAACTCGTGTAGGAATCCCTACAGGACTACAGGAAACCACTAAACTCTAAAATCTATAAACTACAAACCCCAAAACTCTAAGCCCGTCACTTTAAACCCTATAAGTCCCAAGCCCGAAAAGCCCTAAACCCTAAAACGCGCGAGCCCCAAGCCTTAAACTCCTAAACTTGACCTTAAACTCTTGCAATCCGCGTCGTCTCTCTTAAGCCCCGGCCAAGCCACTGAGGGATGCTCAAAAAGTCGATCCAGAGCCATCCGCGAGACAGCTTCTGACCGGAGTCTCTAGGTTGCTTTGGAGCTGTAAGGCCTAAAGGGGGCGAGGGTTTAGGGCTTTTAGGGTTTAGGAGTTCAGGGGCTTGGGGTCTAGGGTTTAGCACTTCTGGGGTTGTTTAAGGGCTCTATAGAGCAGTGCGACACTGCTTGTAGAAGAGATCTGAAAGCGCTTTCAGAAGGAGGCTCGGATTCGGGGTTTCTAGGGCTTTGGTTTCGTGGTGTTTGGAAAGTTGGCGGTTTTGGGGCAAGAGGTGTGCAGCAGCGGAAATTATCAAGTGGAATCATCTTCGGCTCTGCGCTGTCAGGCTTCTTGTTCTTATTTCTTCGGGTTTTTTAGCATGACGAGACGAAGACGGAATACTAGGGCTTGGGGTTCACGGTTTAGGGTTGAGTAGGTATTCAGAGCTCTAGACGATAGCCGTCTGAGTGCCGCAACGGAGCCCTGTCTGAAAAAGGCATGCAAGCTGAACCCCCCCACCTTGCAACACCCGGAACTGCAACCAACATCCGAGACCCTAAACCCTAAACCCCTAAACCTCTAAACCCTAAACCCCCAAACCCCTAAACCTCTAAGCCCTAAACCTTCAAGCCCTAAAGCCCTAAACCGTCTTTGAGCTGCTCCTTCCCAGACTCTCAGCCGGCTCTTCACCAGGACCAAAAGGTTTCAAGGCTTGGGCTTCTATGGGTTTAGGGTTTTAGGGTTTAGGGTTTAGGGTTTAGGGTTTTAGGGTTTGAGGGTTTAGGGTTTTAGGGTCTTAGGGTTTTAGGGTTTACCTGGGTATCCCAAAAAACCTACTGTTTTAGGGGTTAGGCCCTATAACTAAGGAGTCATAACCTACGGTTTTTTGTAGGGTTTGGGGGGATACAGGTAGTGATGGTAGGCCCATGAAACACACCGTTTCCAAAACTAGCTTTCGAGTCGCGGTGCCTGCAACTCGTTGTAGGACAGCGTTTTCCTTTCGGGCAGCTAAGTGCGTTGAGGACTTTATTTATAGGGCTTTATGGTTTTAGAGCTTCCCCATACCCTAAGCCCTAAACCCTAAACCCTGAACCCTAAACCCAAAACCCCTAAACCCTAAACCCTAAACCCTAAGAGATCCTGATCACTGAACTCCTAAGCCAAACCCCAAACCCGCCCAAACCCTACAGCGAAACTCTAAACTCTGAACTCCCGGAGTTCCCGCAACACATTTCAACAAAGCCCTGACATGGTCGTGTACAAGAAAAAAAGAAAGGGTCAGGGCTGTTGCGGTATATTATACTATAGTCAGAAAAAGGAACACACCCAAAATAGTAATTGTAATTATTCAGGCCCCTATATAAGTTGCATTATTATGCTGGGAACATCAAACGCTGCAGTCCACGTTCAAACCGGTTCTCCGGACCTTCCTCACACTTGGGCGTCGTCTTCAAAGGCTTTAATGCTTAGAGTCAGGAGTTGAAGAAGCTTTGGTCTGGAGGTCTCGCAGGTTGTGGGTTTACTCTAGGATTTGGGGTTTGCAGGTTCAGGGCGAGGGCACAAAGCACCATTAGTTCCGTGGCTACTGGAGCTATCTTCCATATGGTGTCTCTGGACCTTCTGTAACCAACACGAATAGTCCCTAGGAATCAAGGTCACTATGTCTACGGTGCCCTACATCGATTGTGATAACGAGCAATTACTATTGCTGCCCTATTGTGCTCTGTCTGCTGCTGCTGCTGCTGCTGCTGCTGCTGCTGCTGCTGAGCACCACCACCACCACCAAGACGACGACGACTACTGCTGTCATGACAAACGACCATGACGAAATCCGTTACAGTCGCAAACCCTAGCAAAGAACTTGAGTCACTTGAGTCATCCAGCCAGGCATCTGAAATCGGCGCATCAATGCCACCTTGTAGTACGCGAGCCGCTAAGCGGCTTAGGGCTTGGGGTCTAGCGTTTCTCCAGCCCTAAGCCAACCTGAACCAATGCTCCGGAGTTTCGTGCCCATGCCGCATTGTCAGGCTAGGCATTGTTGAGGGTTCATGAATCTCGGCTGGTTTGGGATGTTGCGCCACTAGACCAATCTGCTCGAGCTTGTACGTATACAGTGTGCAGACTGAGGACGAGAACCCAACCGAGCGTACTTTGCGAGCCCCGTCTCGGACCGAACACTCCGAAGAGCACTGCTTTCGGGCGCCCCTTTTCAATGCTCGGAAGAGACCAACGTAAGCCCCGACACCTCCACCCAAAACCAATCAAACTAATTTGGGGGCCTTAAAACCCAGAACTGGCGGGCATGTTACGCTTTGCTACAGTTTAATGCAAAGTGGACTCTATGGGGATATCTTATTGAACTAGCCAGACATCAACATCATCACCATGATCATCATCATCATTATCATCATCATCATCGTCATCGCCATCATCGTCACCGCCTCCAGCACCATCTTCGCCTTCGCCGTCGTCATCCTCATCGTCGTCGTCATCATCATCATAATCACCATCGTCATCTGTGGCTCTTGCTATCATTATTGCAGTACCTGTTGGAAAATCTGACTCCTTATTGCTGTGGTCCCAGGCACCGGATCGTAGGTCAGCTGCAAGGACCGGTCTCGGAAACCCCGCAGAGCATCTTGGAGCGCGTGCAGCTGCTTCTGCCTGCAGGCTTCTTCGAGCCGGGAACCTTAAAGTGCCCTAAACCCTAAACTCTGAACCCCAGGGCGTAAACCCTAAACCCTGAAGTACTTTGTTTCAAGGGCTTTTGGGTTGAGACCTTTAGAGTTTTAGTTTCCGGGTTTTGAGGGCCTAGGGCTTTAGGACCTAATTAGGCTTGGCCTTTATTACCTTAGGGCCTGATAACTTTGAGGGATCAAGGTTTTGGGCCTGGCCTTCATTCCTTCATTTTGGGAAGTTTAAGGCCTCGCGTGGGCAGTTCATGGTTTTAGTTGCTTCTGCACTAGGGATCCCGGATTCGTAAGGCTTTGAAGCTTGGGTGGTTGCGTTCAAGACCATCTTTGGCATTTGGGCCAAGCTTCATTTTAGCCTTCAAAGGAGGTGCTGAGGTGCCGGAGCATGAGGCAGGGGGTTGGGGTTCCCAGATTGTGCTTTAGCTTCGGGGTTCCGGGCCTGGTAGGACCCTTAAATCCCAACCGTGAAAAAGGTGTCACGAACAGGAACCACAATCCAGGTCTACATAGCCGGGCCGAAACCCAACAGCCCGAGACTCTACGATCTGGCGATCTTGCTGATGGGATGTCGAAAGGCTCGCTTGCGCACTCGATCGAGGTTCTTCGAGAACCATAAACTTTTGAGCACCAAGCAGTCTCTGTAAAGCTATCATGATAAGGACCCCCTGGAGGAGCCGTAGTTTTGAAAAGACGCACTCTGAAGCATGATTGTAATCCATGAACCTTCTTTCTGAAGCCCTAACCCTAAGTGGAGATCCCCAAACAAGAAACCCTCGTCCGTCCGAGTCACTCAGGGTCAGGATGCGAGAGGCCCGACCACTCGTGCGAGACAAAGGTCACGGAGCCCATGCCCGGACGATACCTGGACCAGAGCCCTATACATAGAACCTGAACTAAAAAACCCTAGACTTCTAACCAAAAGACCCTCAAGCTGAACCCTACAAGAAGGCTCCGGGGCTTCATGAGAAAGAACACCTAAAGGGATTATCGCTGTGGAACTGCTGGCGCTGTGTGTCGCAGGACCTATTTATTGCAACCTCTACGCCCCGCGCTTCGCAGCAGAGTTGCAGCTATGGGTGGTTATCAAAATTATGGTCCCTTTTTGGGTCCTTATTATAATGCGGCACCTATTATTTGGGGTACCCCAAAAGGGACCATAATTTTGACAACTACCCATATGCCCTGGAGGCCTCGGTCTCGGAGCTTAGCGGTTGATGGCTGCGGATTTCGGGAAGGGCAGATGCAAATAGGCCCTAAAGTGGATGCTTTTTTGGGGGCTTGTATTTAGGATCCTATAAGGTAACCCCAAAAAGGAACTACTTCAGGGCCTATGGGTAAACCCTAAACCCGAATACACAAATACACAAAGGAGATCTTGGAAGGGGCACTCGACCAGGATGTTCTCTTTGAGAAGCTCCTGGTGCGGCCTGCAAGTGCAAGTGCGGCCCTAAACCCGAAACCCTAAACCGCTTTAGGGTTTAGGGTTTAGGGTTTAGTTTAGGGTTTAAGGTTTTAGGGTTTAGGGTTTAGGGCTTAGTTTCGGAAAGTGGGCAGAAGGAATCCAACATGGACCGCCCCTCTCAATAATCGTCCCCAGAAGCCTAGTTGCCTGCGTCGTCGCTTACCGGACCATAATTGCTACAAGTATACATACATACACAGACACATAACTAAAATGGATATGTATATGTATATATATGTATATATATATATATGTATGTGTGTATGTTATATATATATATATATTTAATATACATATACACACGCACAGAATACTTGCACGTGTACGAGTTCAAAGAACGGCAGCTTTTGTCACTGCGTTTTGGGCAATGTTTGCATACTTCTGATAATGACCCTTGTCCTCAGACACTTGCAACAGGCAGGGTTACATCACTAACATACTCTCACCAATACGCCTGCGGATCTGTAAGTGCACTCACCAAAGCTCCGATATAGATCCTACCTCATTCATTAACAAAACGAAACTCAGGCTTTTCGGGTTGGGAGCTTTTGGGCCTTGCCAGCGCTGTGGCTCAGAGCTTTCGGGCTTAGGGCCTTAGGGCCCTCAGCCGAAAGCTTGCAGCATAGTCCTCTGCCACTAAGGAAGAGGCGGGTTTTGGGATTTAGGAGTTAGGGTTTAAGATCTAGGGTTTAAGGTTTAGGGTTAAGGTTTAGGGCTTTAGGGTTTCGGCATCGCGATGGTGAAAAAGGAGAGCCTCCAAGCTTGGCCTGCAACCTCAGACCGTAGATTTAGGGCTTAGCTCCTACTGTTGATGATCTACATCCGGCATTACCGAAAGGGCCCGAAACTATGGGAATTATGGTTGGGGTTTGGGGTTTGGAGTTTCGAGTTTAGGGTTCGGGCTGCCTGCTATGACGATAGACAATACTTGATACTAAGTGTAGACACCTCGGTCCAGGGTTGCAGGAATACCTCCAAGAACTTCAAGTCAGGGTCATTAGGGGTATGAGCTTCAGGAGCTTGACCCTGCATCCCGCTGGCCACGACCCTGATCTTGAAAAGACCTGCCTCTGAAGCTCACTCTCCCCACGATCTGTACTTTCGACACTTTTCACACGCAAAACAGTCTGCAAATGAGCTTCTGTCTAGATCCGGCCGAAGACCCTACTCAGAAACTTGCAGCCCGGTGAAGGCGGCAAGAAGCTCCCTTTTTTGAACTGACTCCGGGGCCCCAAACTCCCCAAAAAGTGCGAAATCCCGAAGCCCGTAAGCCGCAGGACGGCGCCGCCTCATTTCAGCCATTAGCAGGACGTCATCAACACGGACAACGTACATTGGGAACCTTGGCGGTTTAGGGTTTAGGGCTTGAGGCCCCAGGGTTTCGGCGAAGCCGCGCAAAATGAAGGTTGAGTTTGTGCGCCTTGCTTGGGTAGCTGGACCCTTTCGGTTGGTACCCTTTTTCTGGATAACCCGAGGGTTGGGGTTTGCGGTCTGGGTTTGGGCTGCTTTTGGCAGGCTTTGGGCTTCGGTTGTGGTTTGTTTTTCCCTACGGCTTCGTTGGATCTGCGTCTCAAAACCCTCAGTGCTTTTTTCAAACCCTCCGTGCATTGTGTGAATGATAGGCTTCTATAGACCTTCACTGTTCAGGGTGGTTGTGTAAGTTGACATCCTGTGCCGCGGAAGTTTAAGTGTTCCACCAGGCACTGCTTGTGCGTATGCTTGAACATATCAGGCTGCGAAACCTCATTATAGGGGCCGTGAGAACTAGAATCGGGGGTGTGAAGCACTGGGGATTATTCATATACAGTAGTTCTCTATATTTAAGGAACCTTCAGGAATACTTGTTCGAATGCTGGTTCAATGTCAAACTTTTCACGCTTCCACATCAACTGCCATCACCATGGATCAAGAAGCTCTGCAGTGCGAAAGCCTACATCCCAAGCCATACTACATAGTTACATAAAATCCGTGTGACCCCGAGAATGGCAGATCAAAACGGAACCCGAAATCCCCTGCCTGGACCAGCCAAGCATAGGGTTTAGGGTTTAGGGTTTACGGTTTAGGGCCAAGCAGCTCTCTGGGCAGTTGGATGCTTGGCTTCTTTGGTGCAGCATTCGTTGGCGGCCGGTACTGGCGCCTACCAGAGCCCCGAACCCCAGAATCCCAGAACCCCGTGCCCCAAACCCCAGAGCCTTTGGGTTTAGGGTTTAGGGTTTAGAGTTTAGGGGTTAGGGTTTAGGGTTTAGAGTTTTGGGGTTAGGGTTTAGGGTTCACGGTTTTAGGAGTTTAGGGTCTAGGACGTACCCAGGAGACCCTCAACCCACAAGTTGCGGGACCTGGCCGCCCGAGCCATCCCGTCTCGGAGGCCGCACACAGAAACGCTAACGGTTTAGGGTTTAGGGTTTAGGGATCCTTAAAGGGTTCTATAAGGGATCTATAATATACACAGAAATGCTAGAGCTCTCTTCTTCAACAATAACCAGGCCCAAAAAAGTTAAAACTTTTTAGAATAGACATAATATATAAAGCCAAAAAGTTTAAAGTTCTCCCGCTGGCTATCTAAGAGAGTAGTATCAGAACATGTTACCGGGTCTGCGCAGGAAAGCTTCATAGAACCTCAAAGTTTAACCCGTCAGAACCCTAAATCATGAACCCTAAACCCCTAAACCCTATAAACAACCCAAAACCCTAAATCATGAACCCCTAAACCATATAAACCCTATAAACCCTAAACCCCTAAACAACCCAAAACCCTGAATCCGGAAACAGCAGGGACGCTGCGGAGATTTTCAGAAACCGACCGGCCCTGGCAGCCGCACACAGCGTCCGCAGAACATCTCCTTTAGACAGAGGGCTTAGGGTTTAGGAGTCAGGGTTTAGAGCTTGGGATTCAGAGTTCAGGCTCGCATGCATGGTGTATCGGGGTATCATGTCAAAAACTTCTGGTTTATGGCGTTCGGCGTACTTGAGTAACTCATTTAGTGTACCTGTTGAAAAAGGAAATGGCCCTGAAATGAGGGATTCTAAGGGGACCCTTAATCCCATTACCTTAAATAACAATTGTATAGCCCTTATATACTTATAACCCCTTATATAGCCAGGTAGTCTCCGTGTTAATCCCAATATCCTACACGGGTCCCTATTAAGGGTCCCTCCTAAAGCCCTTAGAGGGATACAGGATGGCGACCGTTTACTATCAACCCCACCGCTGCCATGGTTCCGCGGTGAGCCAATACCTGGCATCACAGTACTGCACCCATAAGAGTGCCAGGACTACTGCGAGGACGACGACCAGTGCTACCTCTACAAAGCCGCAACCTTTACAAAGTCTCGGGCTCAAAGGGTCGGGCTCGCTGCCCGTATCGGGAGCTATTGATAATCAATGGTCCGTGCCTTAGCGTTGAGGGCTTTCCCGAACTAGTTTAGGCCACACAACCACACCCTGCTAACAGCTGGTAGATCCGAATATAAAGGTTTTTGCGGGAAGCTCTCTGAAAGTTTGCCGCCGTTCTGACTCTGATCGGCTCTAGACTCTAGGTGAATCTCCCACTCCGATTCTGACGTTGAGTCTCTCTCGCTCCCAGACGCGCCACAATCCCTCAAATCTACAACTTCAAAGGTTCAACGTATAAGTCAATAACCCGCTCCCGAATAAGCTCAATCGTTCTGCATTCATTTTCAAACCAACAGTTGGCACTTTGACCTGGGGCTCAAGAGGAATCAACAGGGCCTGACAATCTATAAGCCAAAGGTTCAAAATGACAAACCGGAAAACCCCAAGCCGCCCCTGAACAGTCAACCCTCACTGCTAAACCTACAGCCCGTAAGCTAGAACTCCCAAAGCTAAGCAACCCGAAACCCTAAACCCTACTTAAGCTAGAAGTCCCAAAGCCCCTAAACCCTAAACCCTACAGTGCTCAAGCTAGAAATCCCAAAGCCAAGCAACCCGACAAACCCGAAACCCATCCTAAACCCTAAACCCCTAAACCCTAAACCCTAACCCGAAAGCCCCCCCCACAAAATCGCTGAAGCTCGCGACTTGCAGCGGAGGCGCCAGGCTGGGCTAAGCATGCGCCAGCCGGCAAAGGAGAACGGCGGAATGCTGCAAAAGATTGGTTTAGGGTTTTAGGGCTTCGGGGTTTAGGGGTTTAGGGGTTTAGGGGTCTAGGGTTTAGGGTTTAGGGGTTTAGGGTCTCTACTGGTCTCTTGGCTTCAGTTTCATGAAGTTTAGGGTGTCAAGTACCCAAACGGCGGGCTTCAGGTCCCAACATCTCTACGTACTCTGACTGGGTTCCGGTACCTAAAGAGACCATCTTCTTATTTGGGCACTTGGAAGCTTTGGGTTACAGTTTATCGTCCATAGCTTGCGAAAGGGTGTGGCTTGCTGCCGGCCCGTAGTTTCAGTATCTGCATTGAAACCAAGTTTTTGCAGTCGGAACCCTGTCAAAATTTACACCGAGCCTTGCCACGTCAGAGTGTGCTAGGCCGCTAGGCTTCAGTGTTTCAGGTGTGTTTTTTCAAGAGTCTGGGGTCAAATCGTGCTTTGGGGTTTCGTGTTCGGCAGAAGAAGGGCCTCGGGATTTCGGGGCTTAGAGTTTTAGGGCTCGCAAGAGATATCTTATAACCCGGTACCTGAACAGGATCATCCACTTTGGATGTCAAGGGTCAACTGGCCTTGCTTCCTTGTCAGGGCAATCGGGGGGTGAACAGTTCAGGGGCTTGGGACGAAGGGGTTGCATTTCTGTGGAAACTAAGCTACTCATGGTGTTGCCCCTGTTCCTGTTGAGAATTGGAGCCAGCATGGTTCGGAGGGCGTGAGGCGGGAAAGGTTGAAGGTGCGGGAGCAGTAGTTTTGGGGCTCTTAGGCCTTAGGGGTTCAGGGCTGTCAATTTGTACCTATACTCTCCATTGCAGTTCCTTTTGGGGGTTACCTTATAGGATCCTAAATATAGAACTGGTTAAACCAAACAAAAGGAACTTCAATGGAGACTAGAGGTACGGTTGATGGACAAAATCCTGCATGACCTTATATACCTAAACTACGGGATTTATGGTACTCTACTATACTTGGGTCATGCAGAATTTTGTCCATCAACAGTAAGTCTAAGAGTCTAAGGAGTCGAAGGGTTGGGGGCATCCGGGGATCCGGACCCATACAGAATTTCACAGGCAGCAACAGGGCACTTTACGTCATTCCTGCTTGTAGCAGCTTATGCACAGACTGCTTTGTCGGGCTTGGGACAGGCCTGGCGCGCAGAATGCTTCCTGTTCTACCACACAACTCCCGTATAAACTCTAAGCCCTAAGCCCCATCATGATTCTTGGAAACCCTAAACTTGTAACTCTAAATCCCTAAATTCTAAAACCCTATACGCCCTAAATCTAAATCCAGAAGCTTCATCCCCTCGAACAGACTTCAGTAGCTTTCTTGTGTTATTGTTCAACATGAGCGTACCTGTTCAGTCTCTGAACAAAAAACGCCCCAGAAGCATCGGAGAGTCCGAGACTGGTCAACGTTATTACACAGCATAAGATCGATCGAGGGGTCATGGGAGAGGTATTGGGGTTAAGGGTTTTGAGTTGTGGGCGTGAGGGTTCAGGGTCTCGGGTTTGATACTTTAAATGTATGGAGACAACCGTGAGACTAGTATCACTGAATACTCAGGCTTGAACCCTAGCAATCTCAGGCTTGAGCCCTCACATTCTTCAGATTACGGTAACCCGGAAAGAACCCCCGTCTTCAAGCCCTCTAGAAATCCTTACTCTCAAAAAAGCCCTTTCAGTACTCCGAAAGAAACCCCCATGGCAACCCTTACAGTCCCCCCTTTCAGTAACCCTTATAGCAACACGTCTCGAAATTCCCAAAGTGACTCCTCACAATGTGACCTTATAGAGACCCTTGTCGTATACGTAAGCCTTAAAGCACCCCGATACAGCCAGCTACAATCACCCCTCTAGAACCCTAAACCCTAAACCCCTCAACCCCAACCTCCTAAACCCCTAAACCCTAAACCCTAAACCCTAAACCCTAAACCCTAAACCCTAAACCCTAAACCCTAAACCCCTAAACCCCTAAACCCCAACTCCCCAAACCCTGCAGAAGAGCTTTTTTCTTCCGCATCCGTTTCCGCGTCGTCCCAGTGAAGCTGCCAGACCTCCGAGCTCCCGGCAAGGGTTGTTGGGTTTCGTTTAGGGTTTAGGGTTTAGGGTTTAGGGTTTAGGGTCTGGGGTTCGGGGTCTCGGGTCTCGGGTTTAGTTTAGGGTTCGGGTTCGGGGTCTCGGGTTTAGGGTTTGGGGTTCAGGGTCTAGGGTTGAGGGTTTAGGGTTGAGGGTCTGGGGTCTAGGGTTGAGGGTTTAGGGTTGAGGCGAATAAGCCTCAGAGTTTTCGGGTGCACGGGCCATGTTGGGCTTCCAGGATGTTGCTGAAGCTTCGAGATAGGGTTCCCACTATAAGCCGATTCTAGGAAAACCTAAATTTAAAGGCACCCATCTAGAAACCCTTGAAGAGGGACCCTAGACCCTAAACCCTTATAATCGGAACCAAGGAGCTCGAAGCGAGTTGTCCAGGCGCGGCCTCTTCTCTGGCGCAGGCTGCACGACCTGGAGGGTTTGAGGTCAACCCTAAACCCAGTTTCGGGGGGCGATAAACCGAGAAACTGCCATGCATAGCTCAGAGCCTTTTAACCCGATGTCCGAAATCTTTACGTCAAAGCTCTCATCCCGGAGCCCGAGACTCCTACGCATCGCTCACTCTTGAACCCAAAGTCCGTATCCCGACACCCACAAGGTGGCTCAAGCTTACGACACGGACCTCAATGAAAACAAACACGGTTGTGTTCTACCCTAATCATCACGCACTCACCCTAAATCCTATTTAAACCCTAAACCTTAAACCCTAATCCCTAAACCCTAAACCCTAAGCCCTAATCCCTAAAACCTAGACGCAAAAGGAACTCCCTAAAACGGGAGCCCCCTGTTTCTACAGCAACCTGCGGCTTGAAACCCTCATCACCAGACCTGCCGAAGCCCCTGGGCTGCAGTGCCGCTTTGGGCAACCTATTTAAGGTTTAAGGCTTTTAGGGTTTGTAGGGTTTTGGGGCTCTTTTGGGCTTATAGGGTTTTAGGGTTTGTAGGGTTTTTGGGCTTATAGGGTTTAGGGTTTATCGGGTGTAGGGCTTCTAGGGTTTAGGGCCTGCAGTAAGAAAAAAGGAAAAGGGTCCTCACGGCAAAACCTTTGATGCTCCAGGTCTGAACCCTAAGCCCGAAACTTCCCTAAAACCAAAGCCCTAAACCCAAACTCTGAAAACCGATAAACCTAAACCCTAAGCCCCCAAGCCATAAACCCTAAACCCAAAAGCCCAACCCATAAGCCTAAACCCTAAACCCCCAAACCCCCAAACCCAAAACCCCAAAAAGCCCAACCCCCAAGCCATAAACCCTAAACCCCCAAACCCAACACCCCAAAAAGCCCAACAAAAAGCCCAGAAGCCCTAACCGCGCATCTCCCGACCTGGCGCTCTGGCTCTGGACTGTCCACCTTGCTCCCAAAAAGGCTTTATGACGACCTTATATGTTTGTTAGGGTTTAGGGTTTATTTAGGGTTTAGGGTTTAGGGTTTAATTATGTGTTTGTTGGGTCTAGAGTTTATTAGGACCTTGTAGAGTTTAGGTAGGGTGTTGGGTCGTTGTTGTTTCTTTGTCAAGCTCCTCTTCGGGAAAATCTCTGGAAAACAGCCGGCCCTGAGAGTCTGTATAGAGCTTCAAAGATACCTACAGTCTCCATTGTAGTTCCTTTTTGGGGATACCTTATAAACTCGTTAATATATATTTGGTTAAAC